ATATTATGATATCTACACTATCTTATCTTACCAGGTTGAGAATTCTTAGAGAATTTTTAGCTTTATCAGTTCTTCTGACTTCTCAGGGAATGGGACGTTTCTCCAGTATGACTATACTGTGTAAATTTTTTAAATTTGATCCTTTAATATTAGAGAAAATATTTGATCTACAAATATTAAAAATTCTAGAATATTTTCAGAAATATTCACAATTAGTATTAATGTCCATTATTTATCTATCATTACAGAAAAACTTTTAAAATAAAAGGTAAATAGTGTGAGCACCCAATAATTTGCCATTTATTTCATTGGTTTATTATTAAAAAATTTGTTTCGATGTAATCACATCACAACAACAAGCATTTTTTTGGTTTTCTCTAGAACTTGAACGGATTTTCTTTTGTATGAGAAGTTGAAAGATGTTTTTGTTTAACGAATTTTATGCACATGTACATTTAATCACATTATTCTTTGACATATTGACAAGAACAAAAGCATTTCGATTACTATCTCAAAAATGTAAAACGTTTGTATCAAGTGTTTATATGCTTCTAAGTATGCGAAAATGAAAAAAAAACAAAAACAAAACAAAAATTTCATTTCATAATTTGAAAATTATTGAAAATGAATATAAAAATAAGCTTGAAATATGATAAAACGAAAAATAATAAATGTTGAAGTGTTAAATTATAGTGTCGATTAGTAAATAGAATGTTTGAGAGAGATTTATATGATCATTGAATAGTAAAAAATAAGAATTTTTCTTTTAAAAATTCGATATAGGCGTTAAAAGTACGATAATATTTTTGTTAGACAATAATAATGTTGAGTATAACTTCAGATTTAAATAAATTCTTAAATGTTATATTCAATATGTTAAAAATTATAACTTATTGAAACTGGTAAGGTATCAAACGATTTTTTTATATAAATGATAACATGTAACATGGACAGATAATAATTTAAGACATTTAGTGTTTATTCTTCAAGAGAAATATAGTCATTTCTATTGAAAAAAAAAGCATTTTGATGAACAGGTAACCTTAAGCTAAATTTGTGTGTATCATAATAATAATAATATTTTTCTTTAATTTTCTTTTAGGTTAAATGTAAAGCTGATCTTGACAAAGCATCAAAAATACGTAAGCTTCGTCAACAATTTGAAAATGAATTACGACAATTTTGTAAAGAAGATCAACAAGATATTGTCATTTATCTTGAAAGACAATTACTTCTACGTGAACAACTTATTTCTGAACAATTGGCTGATCTTGAATTGTTAAAAAAAGAGAAATTGAATCAAGAAAATAAAAATAATAATACTAATGATGTCAACAACAACAATATTAAAGGAAAAATTGAACCAAAAAAAGTACCAATACAAATATTGAGAAGTAATGATCCAGATGTTGTCATATCAGCGGTAAGTTTCTCTGATGTTTTCATGAATTTTGAAAACAATACAAAAATAGTAAAATTCTCATAATGGATAAAAAATATCGTTGATGAATACCGGAGTACACGCGTCTACTCCTTTATCAGAAGTCATTTAACTAGAATAGAAACACTTAGTACTATACAACAGATTTGCTATGATTCAGCAAATCTGCTGTTCACATTCTAGTGACAAATCTGATATTTATAACGTAGAATAAATATAACATCAGAATAAATAAATTAATTCTAATTGATTGAAATATTAAATTAGCTTTTTTGTGAAAGACAAGTTTTATCTCGCTAAATCTAAATAAATAAGTGAATTTGTACGTGTATATAACTGAATATTCTAATGAATTAAAAAATTAAAAGGTTTCTTCGTATAATTCTGCTACGATAAATCCAATACTCTAGGTATGTCAAAAAGAAGTAGTCGATGTCTAATTTTATCATCGAATTGTATCTCCTGTAAATATATTTGCTGTTAGATCGGAAAAGAAATGGTAAAAATATTATTGAAAAGATAATTTAACAACTTACTTTTCATTGTAAATAAACATGATCATGATAGCCTTCAAAAATAAAACACGTGTTAACACACGTTTTTGAATATCTTAACAAATGACAACTAATATTGAATGTTTTAATTCTCGTGATCTTTTGTAATCAAAGTTCATGAATCCCATTCAGTCATAGAGGATCATCAATTTCTTTACTATTTGTTTCTTTCTTTGTAAATTTTGCACTTAAAACAATTCAAATGTTATTCTTACTAATTTCTTTTAATCACACTTTCATTTCAACTGCATGGTTTCTCTTATCAGTTCTGTGTGTTTATACTGATGACAGAGAAAAGAAAAGAAAAGAAAGTCTTATTATTCATTCCATTATTCATTCATTCCATTATTCATATTCCATTATTCAATTTTGCGCTATTCCTGTGTTCTCTTTCCTTGTGATTCTATGGAAACAGCCTCTATTCAATTTTTTTTCTTGTTTGTTGTGCATTCTTATATACATATGCACATAAAATTGTTACATGACCTTGATCGATGAGTCCGTTCTGTGGCATCCATTTTTCTTCGTTTTTTTTTCCTCATATTTCATCAGCAGCGTAAATAGTGTGTTGTTTTTTTGTTTTGATTATTTCTACAACTAGAGAAGATTGAAATAGTACGTTTGTTTCTTTTCCAACTCTTTAGAAATAAATGTAGTATTTCAATCTTCTCTCGTGGTCTCGGTTAGATTTATCTAAAAATTGTATATGTTAAGAATCTAGAAAAATTATTTTTGATATTATTATTGAAGAAAACTAATTATTAATAATGCCTGGAAAAGCCGATGCGAAACCTGACGCAAAAAAATCTGGTGGTGACCAAGGATCGAGTGGTGGTAGTAGTGGTGCTGGTGGTGATCCAGAAAAAGGTGGAAAAGTATTTAAACAAAAATGTCTTCAATGTCATGTAATTGAAAAAGGTATTATAATTGAGCATATAGGGTGTCGATTCAATTGAATATATATATTAGTTTTATTACATTTAAGGTGCTGGTAATAAACAAGGTCCAAATCTACATGGTTTATTCGGTCGTAAAACCGGAGAAGTAAGTGAAATGAATTTGTTATTAAAATTTTTGATTTGAATCGAAAATATTTTTTCTTTTAGGTGCCTGGCTTTTCTTACAGTGATGCAAATAAATCAAAAGGGGTGAGTTAAATTCATTTTAAGTAATTTTATTAATATTAATGTCAAATAACTTCTTTTATATATTTAGATTATATGGGGTGAAGATACTCTATTTGAATATTTAAAAGATCCAAAGAAATATATACCGGGTACAAAAATGATATTTGCTGGTATTAAAAAAGAAGATGAACGAAGAGATTTGATAGCTTATTTGAAAGAAGCATCATCTAAATGAAATCATTTCTCTATCGTGATCATATGTTTTTTTTTTCTCCCGAAGAAGAATGTTTCTCAATTTCCCTTGTCTAGATTACTTTCCGTGTGTAATTTTTTTTTTTTTTTTTTGTTTGTTTTGTAAACCGAAGAAATAAAAATCTGTACCTTTAACTAGAAATTATTTCTTCTCAAACAAAATAACGAAACACAAGTAGTAGTATTTTGTCAGTATTTTATAAAACATCTCGTAGTATGTTGAACAGTAGTAGTTGTTTTTATTATAATTCTCGCAAGATCAAGTTTTGTCCCGTTATTTTTCTCTTTCCCTTTTTCTATTTATTCCTAGATCGATTCTTTCTAGTCTCATACCATTATCTGATTTACGTCTATGTTCATCGTACACTTGTTTGTTTTATGTAGGCTATTATAGTTTATTTTTACTACTTCTTTTCTATCTTGAAAATTGAAACTTCCTAGTTTTCAGAAGGAAAATCTTGTGTTTTTATTTTTCTACCGTGTTACTACATTCGTCGTAATAAATTGAATATAAAAATCATATAGATATCGATCCAAACATATTATGTATATACCATAAATTCTAACTGCTATTATAAAATAAATCTTAACGAAGTATAATATGGTGTAGATATATTTAAACTCTAACATTAACTCTTCTCAGTTATGATGAAAGTTTGTGAAATGATAATAATTAGACATGGATGGTGACAATGTTGAGAAATCTTTTACTTGACTATGTTGATCTCAATATTACAGTACTCTATGTCTAACAACGGTAATAATGATTATGCTAATATTTTTGAAATAGATTGGTTAATAACTATGAAAACTCACATGAACTGTTGCTAATTTGATTTGTCATCTATAATTGTAAAATTGTGTATTTTGTGATCTTGAACAAATGATAAAAAAGAAAATTTATTATTTAATTTTTATTCACAATGGTATAACTCTTTGTTGAAGATTATTTTTTGTGCAATTAGTCATGCATAAAAGTCAAAAGTTCGATTTTCGATTCATATTAGTATTTAAAAATAAATTATTTCTATATTCTTGCTATTGACATGGACTATATAAGAAATTGATTAGAAATTAAATTACTGTAGCAAATAGATAATAATGTCAGGTGTACACTTCTACTGTTGTTACTTTTTGACGTTACTTCTTTTAGTCGAAAATATATTTTCAGTATTCTACTAAAAAATATGCAAAAAGAGAGTAGATTCGTTTAAATTGTGTTTATGATTTTATTCTTAATCGGTTCTTCTGTAAGTAACAGCTTGTTACCTCGTACAATTTGTACTACTATTAGTCTTGTTCTTTATTTTTATCGTTACTTTAAGACAGCAGAGGCAAACAACATATTTCTTTGATGAAATATTCTCTGTTGATCTTCTTGTATTGTTGAACTATTATCCAAATTTTTTAATCAAATCTGTTTTGTATAAATTTAAAATGACTGTTCCAACACGTCAAGTGACAGTTATTGATGAATTGTGGGGAAACGAAGTTGTAAGTGTTTTTCCTTGTTTTACTCGATGATTTCATAATATTCCGCATCATCATTCATTTTATTAAAAGAGTAAAAAATATGACAGTACTACGAGTTTGTGAACATGATACAGTTATTAAATCAAAGATTTTCCTTGTAAGATGAAGAAAGATCACGGATTTGTTCCTTACAGATAAAGTGCAAACAGCTGTTTAAATTAATAAATAAATTATTTTCACAAATACGGACTTAGTAAATGTTTTTCTTAGCAATCTACATGATTTATGTTTTATTTTATTGTTTTTATTATTTTCTTTCCAAAGAATCGTCGTTTATATGATGAACAAGATCGTACATTACATCGACATAATATTGAACTTAATGATAAAGTGAAAAAGTTAGAACGACAAGTGGAAACATTGAAAAAATTAGATCATACGGTATATACATTTTCAGTTTTATTCCATTTAACATTCAGAATGAAAATGATGAATAATTTGTTCAACTTTTTAGCAACATGATCATGGTAAAGAACTTTTGAAACGGGCATTAGCCAAACAATCGTCAAAAGAATTAACGGAAAGGAGTCGTTTAATTTCAAAAAAGGATGAAGAAATTCAAAATTTAAAAAAAATAATTGATGAATTATCATCAAAAAATCAAGTAAGTACACAGGTGGTACAGTTATAGTAAAGATAGACACAAGAGATTTGATGTTAAAGAATAACTTAGCACTCTAAAATGATAATATTTATTAAACTAAAAATAAATGATAAATACGGATTTTTCTGGAATAGAGTCTAAAAATGATACTCATTTTATATTTAGACTACTCATACGGAACTACTCGAATCTGCTCTACGTCAAGCGAATATAGAAAAGATGTATTTAGAAAGACGATTTCTTCAGCAAACAGTCGAGGTAAGAGATGAATATTTCTTTCTTTTAGTTTGTTTAACATAAAATTCACACATGCTCAGTTCAAATGTGTGTATGTACGTGAAAATGTGATGAAGATGTTTTTGGTGCCAGTTACTGATTGCTCTTATTTTCAATTTAATTCAAGCTAGCACTCGATGGTTTATCACTATTCTAATAGAGCTTTTAACTTTTGTTATTTTCGAGAATACATTTTTTGACAAAAGGTCGTTGGGATTGTTAAAGGCTAAAATCCCCATCTATTTTTTTTTCCGAGGTCAAATAAAGAAAGCAAAGTTTCTGTATTTTTTATATATTACTTGAATAATCAATGAACTTTATTTCAATGCATAAGAGGGAGGAAAAACTAAAAATGTTTTTCTCTACTTCCCTTTAAAAAAAAAAATGCAAGTTTTTCTTTATTCATGTTCATAGAAAAACACTCTGAATGAATCCTAGCCAGTTTTTTTTCTTTCTACACTATTTCTGTCATTCTTCTCTCTCTTTCTATCACTAAATATCGTCATCTATATAGATATGAAATGAACATTTTAGAGAGACTAGCAAAAAAAGAAAGAGGAATGTTTCTTCTTCTTTTGGGTAATCATATTTAGTTCTTTACTCGGTTCGTCAACTAAACATATAAATTACACAATCGTAGTGCTATCGTCTGAACGTGACAGTTTTTGCATACAATACATCATAAATTAATAAAAAAAAAATTTTTCTTGAAATTTTTTTATTACTATTTTATTGAATGATAATTTAGCAACAAATAAAATGTGATTTTAATCAATGTCAACACGTTCTATAAGCGGTTTTATTCGAGATGTTCGAGATAAAGGTGCTAAAGGCGTAACATTAGTACAGGTATGTTGTTTGTACTGTTTTTTGAACATTGATAAAATAACAGAACAGTTTTTATTATACCTTTTTACTTCTTTCAAATTGATGATAGATGAAGAGTGTTTTCAAGCAGCAATTAATTGTAAATTTAATGCTGCACGCTATATAATCACAGAAAACGTATTTTGACTAAAACATAATTATTCTAATGAGATATTTCTTATTATTTTCTTTATTGTATGTTTATTAGTGACAATTAAAAAGAGTAACGAATTCGGAGAATATGTTAGAAGTCTGTCAACTTGATTCATTAAAACTAACTATTCAAGATTAAAATTTTCATTGTCAATCAAAATTTATTAATTTGTTAATGTAATATTTCATTGGTGTTTTTTTAGCCTAGTTCACCACGATATGCCGTACAAAATTATCACAATACAACACCAACCACAGTACAAACAGCACCAGTAATCGATCAAATAAGTAATGATCCATTATCAAGAACACATTCACCAAGTATAGATCCTTATCATTATTCGGCATTACAAGATACCAATCAAGCATTAAAAGCTGAAATTCAACGATTAGCAAAAATTGAAGAAGAAAATCGAGCATTATCTATACGGGTAAATAAACTGTTGTTGTTGATTAGGAGAAGGAGACTATGTGTCTGTTTTGAAATATGAACAAATTTGTTCACTCATTAATGATTTATCAGTATAATTCAATACTATACTAACTAAAATAATGTTATAACAACGTTTATGAAGTTAGAGTAACATTCAAAAATCTTATATTGCATAATTCATGTGTCTTTTGATCATTTTTATCGTTATCAGTTTATTTTTACACTTTTATCTAACAATTATTGAAACTTCTATTTAACTACCGTTATCTAAACAGATCATAGGTGGTGTTATCAAATAATTAATAATTTTATGAGTATTCTCTATGACTATTTTCTTTACTCGTATAATAGTGTTTGTAAATCAATATAGTTAACTCGCATCGATTTTATTTCAATATTTTAGCTTGAACAGTATAATGATGTTCATGAATCTTATAAAAGTGTTCAAAATGAACTTGAACAAATACGTGATATTGAAATACAAAATAATAGATTACAAGCTGAATTAGCACAAATTCGTTTAAATGAAAATACGACAATAACTTATTTACAACATGAAAATGATCAATTACGATCTCAAAATGAAAATTTACTTACAGAATTAACTCGTTTAACACAGTTAGATGTACGTGAACGATCATCAAAACAAAAATATGAACAAGAAAATATTGAATATAAAAAACAATTAGATGAATTAAAACTTCGAAATGATGATCTAAAATTAACCATTGAACAATTGAAAGAAAATGATAAACAATTAAAATTACAATATACAACGGATATTAAACAAATCAATGATGAAAATTTAAAACATCGTACAATAAATGAACAATTAAAATTTAACTATGATTTATTAAAAGAAGAATGTGAACAAATGAAAGAACAATATGAAGCAATGATTGAACGAAAAACGGTTGAAAATGAAAATGAAATAAAATTATTACAAAATAAAAATAAAGAATTAAAATTAATTGAAAAATTATACGATGAACAAAAGAAGACAAATGAACAGACAGATGTTGAAAAGAAGAAATTAGAAACTGATCTACTAACAATGAATAACGTAAATGAACAATGTAGCGATTTACAAGCACTAGTGAATAAATTACAAAATGAAATTAAAATTATGGTAAGTTATTTGATGTAGATAAGATTTATTCGAATAATGTCATCTTTTTGTAGAAACTTGAGTATCAGTAGAAGAAGTCACAAGGGAACTACATTTTTAAAAATTGCCAAAAACACTTATCATCTTCTAAGGTGAAACGTCCTTTCAAGTTTCTTATTTTCTATTATGACATGTCTCTTTTATTTTTTTTTCTCATTCCGATATATTCATATTTTCTTCTAATAGGTTGTCATTCTTCTTTTTTATGTTATTTCAAAATATAAAAGAATTTGATGGTATATATGACACCCCCATCACAAATTCTCTCTATATAGGATAGTAAATTATTTTCTTTTTGTTGTTGTTATTATTATTCTCGTTTCCTTTATTTAATCGCTCATAAAATAATCTTAATTGTTACATTAATCAATGGAGCATAATTAAGTTGTTGTTTTAAGAAAACGTCATATATAAGATACAAAATACGAATCATATTTTTTGATAAGAAGTAGTGTCTCTAAATGAAGACATAATAGTAATATAATCTCACTTGTATTTATGTAGAAGAAAAATGTAGGCAAATCAGATATGAAACAAGTTCTTTCTTTTTTTTTATTTTCCTAACAATTAGTTAATAAAAGAAATACGATAAGAGTATAGTAGCAAATAAGAAAACAAGGTCTCGTTTTCTAATATTTTTAACTGATGTGTCAAATATGTCGCTCGAATGCCACCGTAAATACACGTGTGCAATCCAATATATTGTTAGTAACAAAATTAGAAAAAATATTTTCAATTAAGACTGTCGCCAACAGTGGCGTGATAATCGAGAGGATGTACATCCGGTTGCTTTTCAAAATCTCTTACTCTTTAATAATCACTTTATTTTTCAGAAATTTTTTCTGGCATCTAATTCAGATTTTGCAGCAAATCCAATCTATATTTAACGAAAATAGTCTTTCATTCCTTCTCCTAAATGGGAAAAATCTAGCAAAATCTTTCTCTCTCACTTCTCCTTCAAAGAGAAAAGTAGTTCAAATTAGTATCTCTATGACTTTCTTCTAGAAATTCGATGCTCTCTCAAATGTTTTCAGAGACATTGATATCAGATCACTGGACAAAGTTCATACTATAAGTTGTTCGCTTCACTACTAATATCCAAGAGGAGAAGTCATACTTCATTTGTTCACTCTTTGTGGATGTCATATTCTAACGTCTAAAACCATTAGAATAATCTTGGAATATTCTAATAATAATACTTTGAGTGTTCATGCGATGTTTTATTAACTATCCATCTAAATTATGGATGAAAAGAAGATAGTTGCAAAAATAATGCTTTATATAGAGAGAGTAGTCATTTTGGAACGATATATCTAAAAGATATTTTTAATTGTATAGTTGGAATGTGATCTTCTTTTGTGATGAAAATTATTAGTTTGAAAAAAGAAAAAAGTTTAAATAATATATAAAAAATTAACTATAACAAAAAAAAAAAAGAAGTTTTTCTTCAATGTCCAAGACTGAACTATTTATAAATGCGTGAGCTATTATTATTATTATCTGTAAGAAGATTTAATTCTATATAATCATATTTTATTCATAGAAAGCGAAGAGTGTCTGAGAGTTCGGGTTTTTTTTTTGTTTTTTTTTTTTTTGTTCTCTTTTCCCCATTTTATGTTAGCAAAATCGATCGTATAGTTTATGATTTCATATCGTTCAGGTAGTTTTTTTCTTCTCTTTTTCTCGTCTTTTGTTCTGTGGTTCTTTTGTGTATGGGAATACACATGTTTCTATATCTTTTCAGAAAATCTCTTGCGGTCTACTCAGTAACACGACCAAATAAATAGTTTTTTTTTTCTTCGTTTCTTTCGTTTCTAGCAAACAAAACTGGATGAAAAAGTCATTGAATACGATACATTGCAACAAAATTTTGACAAAGATAATACACATTTGGTAAGTGAAGAATCTCATCATCCATATTTGCTTTTCTTTTCTTTCTCCTCTTTTTCTTTGTTTTGAACATTGTGTGATTGTAAAAATTGACTTAAAATATGACTATAATTGAACAAAAATTTATACGTCTTGATTAGTCATTTTACATGACTTACGTATACTTTAATAGTATAACATTTTTTTTGCGTAAAAATCAGCACATTATTTTCGCATTAATAGAATCATTTTTGATGCTGAAAGTCTGAATTCTTCTTTGTTAAGAGAAATATATAATGGTATAAGTACACTTAAACAACTTTTGCCCTATCATATTGTATTTATAGAAAACTGAGAATTTTCGACATGGATTTAGAGTCAGTTTCAACATTGTTTTACATATGGAAGTTGGACAAAAAAAATAAACGTCTTTTCTAGTGATGCTCATTTTGCTTTTAGAAAAATGAACTTGAAAATGTGACAACAATGAATGCTCAATTAACATATGAAATCAATGATCTTAAACTGCAAAAAAATGGAAATGATAAAGTATGTATGATAGAAAATGTGTCATAGAAGAATTTTAGATCAATTTCTTTATTTATTTAGCTTCAACAAGACTTTGACCATTTACAAGGTATATTAAAATTGAAAACCAATGAATATGATTTAAAACGTCTCGAAGTCGATACACTTACAACGAAAATAGCTGATTTAGACTCAACAATAAAAGTATATTAATAATAGATAAATGTTTGTTTATTCATACATTTTTTTCTCTCACTCTCTCTCTTTGTTTCCAATTTTAGTCATTATGTGATGCACATGAAGTTCAACGAAATTTAAAAACTGAAAATGAATCAAATAAACAAGAATTGAGAAAAAAACAAGATGATTTAGAACAATTTCAACGAGTTAATAATACTTTTTTTTTTGTTTTAATTCTCTATTCAAATTTAATATTATACTTATTATTTATCATTTAATATGTAATTACTTTAGATGCATGATATATCAAAACAAGAACATCAAGAAACAATACAATTATTGGAAGAAAAATTACGTGATTTGGAAAAGAAAACAGAATTACAATCATTAAAACATGAAGAAATTTTACTTGAATTTGAATCGTTAAAGGCGAAACGAGATCGTATTTTACCACACATGTACAATAATA